TGTGCTATTTGTGTGACAGATGACAGTGATTTAGATCCTTCAAATATCATTATAGAGTTTGATTCCTGAAAGTGTGTATAGAGAGTACCTCTTGAAAAAGGAGAATACTTTAAATGGTACTCAAATTTCTTGGGTGATTAATCTCATGATTACATTGTAGGGATACCTCGATCAACAAAACAAAAAAAAGATAGATATGTTTTACAAAATCTGAAAAAAACAATTATTTTTTAGAATATATATTCAATTAATATAATCATCATTATACTACTGCTTTATAAGCCATAAAATAAACATTTAATCATGACATATGAATTTGTTTTAAAAATAATTAATCGCATAATTCTAACACCAATTAATTAACTTTACCTTTGACTATGACACTGTGTTTTTTTTTTTTTTTGGCTACAAGATTTGCCATTGGTTATAGTGAGGAAATTAATGTTGCTTAGTTATGGATTCAAGAGCCAATGTAAATAAAAGTTAAAGCATGATATAATTTGGAAAGAGCTGTATGAAGGATGACTCATGGCTTAATAATCACGTTCAAGGTCAAATAAAATATATTAATAACCGTGTTGAAGAATTCAACTGAAGGCATGCTTGACTTATTATCAACAATGTACATGTTCTCTTCAAATTTTCATTTTTTCCCTTTAAAATTTTTTTTATTCTCTCTCTCTTTCTCAATCCATTTAATTATTATTATTATTATTATTATTATTATTATTATTATTCAATGCTGTCGTTTTTATTATTTTTAAAATATAAGCATAGAAATATTTTCAATTTATATACCTTTTATATTATTTTTAGCATACCAAAATGGTGTCTGGTTTTATTAAATCAGTGGTTATTATGAGTATCCCTGGATTTTGTAAGACATTATTTTAAATTATCCATTCTGTTTATGATACTCTTCTCTTTGGCCCAAAAAGAATGTACTAATTTCTGGATAAAGTCTAACTCAAAAAAAATCGATTAACAAGAAACAAATCAATATATTATGTAAAAAATAGTAAAACAGAAGTGATGAGCATCGTTACTTTACTTTCTAGTTATTGACATGACATAATTGTTAGTGCTAATTTATTAACCAGAAACAATAATAACGATCACTATAAAACGAGATGGGCCGACGATAAACAAGACAAGCCAGACCACATCATTTTGTTTTTGGACATAAGACAGACCACAATTACATGGGCCTTTATTTGAGGACCATACTTACCCCATATGACCAAATGGTTGATTTTTCTTTCCCCTCTGAATTTTTTTCTTTAATAATTTATTTATAGATATGTACTTTTACAACAGAAAAATTGGGGAGACGGACCCATTCTGAAATTTAATTGGCGAAAGGGAATGAGACAACCATTATGTATATGAATATACTCTCTTTGGCCAAAATTCTACATTTTATCTTTCATGTTTTTCGCTGTAGAATTATGGGTCCTTTTTCTTAAATATTTTTGTCATCAAGTGCTTAATCCCAATTTTCCCTTCTACAGTTCATAAAACAGATGAGAGAGAACTAAATTATCAGAATAAAGGTACCAAGTATATGCGCTTATTTCATAAAAATGAACTTAATTAGCATCATCCAACCATGTCACATCCCTTGAAAGACTTTTAAATTCAAATACTAATATACTTCATGATGTATCCCAGAGTCATTGGTGATCAACAGTGTGGCTCATGCCATACCTGTACAATGCCTTCGAAAAAGTGACCAATTGGTTTAACAATAATACATGTTTGAATAATTCATGAAAGAAGCTAGAAATGAATGAAGCCACCAAGCAAATATTTCAAAAATCCCCAAGATAGAGTAACAAACTAATACACACTAGTAGTTTTTTTTTTTTTTGGGGGGGGGGGGAGATAAAGAAACTAATACATAGTTTTTAAGACAGACATCAGCTGAAAAAGAAGACCACTAATCTGTCTAGTATGGGTGATATATTATTTTTCCTCCCACTGGTAGCCACAAACTGTTGAACTACAGATTTTCATGAGTCCAGCAGAGATGTGCTCACAGCCGCAGGGACTTGTCATAGTGAGATGTACAATGTGCTTGCCAGGAAATTCAAAAACAACATAGCAGTATCAAGTATCAACGGTATGCCATTTATTTAAAAAAAAATTATTACCCCCTCCGTTAAAAAATATAACGCATTTTTAATTGAATCTTACCTCTTAATAAAATAGTTACTTATTTTTTAACTAATCATATATTTTCATATTTACCTCTATTAAACACTTTACAATAAATATAAAATTATTATTAATAGGAATACTTAAAAAAAAGGCAATAATTACATATCAAAAGACTAAAAAATACCTTATATTTTTTAACATCTTACTCCTTAAAAAATACTTTACACTTTTAAACAGAAAGAGTATTTATTATTCTATTCGTCTGTAAGTGTTCATTGTGAAGTGCAATAGTTTGGACATTCACACTAGCTCTAGACCAACGAAAGTGGACCCAACTTGGGCACTATTCCTCTGGTCTTCAGTTCACTGTTCTATTCTTTGATTAAATGTGATAAAATGAACATTTTATAGCATTGAACATTTTGTCAGCAACTACTGAACCCGAGCTGCAATTAACAAAAGATTTTTTCTGTGGTATAAGAAGATGCAAGTCCGTGCGTCATGGGCAGCTTGGGATCCACCATCAATTAATAAGACAGACAAATGCTATTTTGAATCTTCCCACAACAGATTTAGCACATAATGTGTTGCAGCCTCTATTTTCAACAAAACAAAAATAGTTTCTTCATATGCTTGGTGTGCAAGCATACTCACATATCTTTTAGCTTTTTTGAATACATGATCAGAAGTGACCATTCAGTTTTCCATGACAAAATTCCTAATTTTTTAATAGTTTTTAATAAAGGATGACTTTTAAAGAAATTACAATGGATGAGCAAAAGGACTTCTATAAAATTAGAATGGATATTAATTCTTATAAAATTAATCTTCCAATAAAGAGTAAGACCTTCTAGAATGCCTAAGACTTCGACCATAGTAATGGTGTGATAATCAAGGTATTTTGATAAACCCATAATCCAATTTCCCTTATCTCATGTACTATGCCATCACAAGCCGCTTTCCTGTTAAAGCTAATTGATCCATCAATGTTAAGTTTAACACAACTTGCTTTTGAAGGGCACCATTTGATTTCAAATCTAAGCGTGCTTTTACTTAAAAGGTTCACTTTGAATTGAAGCCTTATATTGATGATTATTTATTAGGTGCAATAAAAAGTAACAATCTTTGTCATGGTTCTCCTCATCAAAATAAATCTTCTTGCATCTTTCCTTCCAAATGTTTCAGTAGACATGTGCAAAAAGCCCCTACCATGGGGTTCTTTTTGTGCTCTGGCAATCATCCTCGTTTTTCACATTCTAAACCATCGAATCCTGCATAAAAAAGGAAAAAAAAGTATAAAGTTTGAAAGATTTGACTAATTTTAATCAAACCTCCTGTGTTTCCTTGCAATCACGCAAAACATGAATGTGGGCAGAATCAAAAGAGTTATAACCAAAAGGAGGTGTTTGTTGAAGTGAATTACTTCCTCTTGCAATTTTAAACTTGACTTGTAGTTAATCCCAAACAACTTTTCAAAGAAAACACTTGAATTTTTCATATGTAAACCACTTTCAAATTTTAGACTAGATATAATAATTAATTTGATCCTTTTGAATATCCAAAGTTTAAAGGCAGATTTAATAAAGAAATTGCCGTCAAAGGAAGGCCTCCAATGAAGAACATCCTCATCTCCAAATGGGTTCAGAGGTTGTACCAATGCCATTTGTCTTAATCACATCAAGGTGGGCGTGGCAACTCAACAGATTAAAATTCCATCTTCCTCTAGGCGTGTGAAGAGCCGAGACCCTTGCATGTAGGATATACCCAGCACTTGGAAGAGCGTATTTAACAGGCAGTTCAAGGAAGTACATACTTGACTGTAAGAATTAACCGGCCAATCTCAAATTAAGGAGGAAAACAAACTAAATACATGATAAAGATAGCATAATACATGGAACATAATCAGCAATCAGAAACAAAAGCAGCTATTCCAAATGCTAGGTTTAGTTTTACTTCGACATTTCTATAATATGACTAAATACTAAACTAATGTTATGCTCGCCTGTTGCTAGCCTAGGCGGATGGCCATGCTTTGTGAAAGGACAGCTCCAATTCCATTTTTGGAGGCAACAGCTTCTATAATGAATGGCTGTGAGAAATTGGGGAGGACTAAAACTAGAGTACAAGTCATCACCTTCTTCATTTTCTGCAATGCTGTGTTTGCTTTCTCAGTTCATGTAAATGTCCCTTTCCTTTTAAGTAACTCTATCAAAGGCATGCCAAGATTATCAAGTAAGGCTTCATGGCTCAAAAAGTATTTATAAAAATACTACGCCCAGACACCCACTAAAAAAGTCCCTGCATCAGCAACATGAATTAGACTACTGCCAAAACATAATTGATTGATCTCCCACAAAATGAAAAGCAGGGCAAAATGCGAACTTCTCTGATGACTTGCCTTTTTATATTCTGAATTCCTAATTAATAAGAAACCATTTTCAAAATAAATGCTCATAAAATAAATGTTAAAATTCAAGATTTATCTGTTGAATTTTTCCTTACTAACATTAGGATATTGAAATTTTTCTTTTACACCTCATGCTCAATTTTTGTAAGTAGCTTTCAGTATACCTGGGAAATTAGAATGTCCAGCTACCAAATGCCCCCTATATGTTTCAAACTCCAACAACCAAAGATAACTTGACCTACAGAAAGGCGTCCTTAATACCCTATGAAAAGAAAACGCGCAAAAAGATCTATATGAGGCTCTCATAAGTTGCAGCTAATCTGTTTGACATTTGTTCATTCATTGTTCTCATAGGTACAACAATTCCACACATCAAAGATTTACGAATGAATATAGAATACTAACACAGAATGGAAAAAAAAAAATACAGACATTAGACAAAGTCAAGGTCAACATAAATAGATCGAAATTTAATATTACAAACTAAAATATTAACAGCGTTTCAACAACCATGTATGTCAAATATAGGCAACAGAACTTCACTTAAGACCTAATCATAGAGCACTACACACTAACCACCAGAATTGTCACAATTCCATAATTCTAAAAGGAGGAGGAAGAGCTGATGGTTTCAACAGTTCCTCCACTAAATACATAAATTTTCAATTAAACAAACCACAGCTTACCAAAGACCCAAAAATAGAAATGAAGCACCATACATAAGATGCAGCCACCACAAAGCTTAGCAAGACGGTAACCTAGTTAAAGCCAGCACTCATTTCCCTTCTCTTCAGTTCCAAAGCTATCCGTTCATTTTCAAGCTTCATTTTTTCATTTTCCATCCTCAGCTTCTCCAATTCCCGGTCCTTTTTCTTACTAAACCTCTGCCACTTGAGTCTCTGTTTCTCCAATTCCAACATTTCCACCTGAATCTGTAGTTTCTGCTCTTCTAACTCAAGATTTCGATATTCAATCCATTGCTTCTGCAACCAAGCGGTTCTGTTGCTGTCAGGTAAACCTTGATTCGCATCATATTGGAAAACCAGTCCATGGGAATGAGGATTTTTATTGCAGTCATGACAATTTAAGGAATTCCCAAACATTTTAGTATCTTCTTGGCATTGAACTTGTTTCAATTTCTTCATAGATCCCCCTAATGCACCATATACTCCTCTACTATCTCGATGGGAATGATAAGTCTCTTCAAATTCATCATGATCATCACTATCCACATCTTGATCATCCTCTTCAAGATCCTCGTGATGGGACCTTTTGACATCATCATTATCATGGTCATCTCTATTTCTAAGAGCAGCCTGTAGTGAACGCTGCAATGCTGGATCAGGGGGTAAATGCAATCTATTACCATTATGGTATGAGCACATCTCTTCGTAGAATAGGTGTTTTGAGCCTAATATTTTCCGAATATCTTCCTTATCCTTCTCAGAGAGATAATCAAGTACATCCAACAGAGAAGGGTTCTCAACAACTTGACAACAGGTTCCCCTCCCAATCATATCATTAAGTCTTTTATACCTTTTATTAAGGTCATTGAATTTATCCTCGCATTGCTGAGGTGAAACACGGTAACCCCTTTCAGCCATGACCTTAGAAATAGATTTCCACTTGCCCTTTTTTTGGAAGACTGTAAATCTTCTTCTTCCCCCACTGCCGCTGTCAGAAGTTGCATCCTCACATATATAAGAGAGAGCTGTTATCAGAAGCTTCACCATCTCGTCAGTCCACTTCACACGCTGCCAAGGTGAACCCTTTTTCCCACGGCCTGCTTCATTGCGACCATCAGCTCCATCTTCAATAAAGCTTGGTTCGTCATCCTCACTTGCTGAGTTCTTGCACCTATCTCCTTTAGTAAAGTCAGCCATTGAAATGGTTTGATCACAGTTTTGCAAGGTTCCCATGGCAAGAGGAAAACCATCATGGCAAGCGGAATGCACTGAAGACCGTTGACGGAGATGTGTTTGAGGTTGGTGCATGTTTTGAGGATGCTCAGCTTGCTAATGAACACGTATTGATCCTGACAAATCAAAACCACTAAAAGAAGCACCAACTGGAACAATACCTCCTTGATATTGACAGAAATTTCCTTCCATTTCTTTTTCCAAAGAACAAGCCCAGAGAAACCAATGAACCGACTAAACCTTAAATCTAACCAAGCCCATTCTTATTCGACCCTCATAAAGCTTCTATTAGCATTCTAGATCTTCATGACCGTCCACCCCAGTATTATTTCTCACACAAATATTCCCAGTCAGCGACAAAATTTACAAGCCAAACAGAGGAACCCAATTCGAAAATACTCAGCAGTATGGAAATAAAATGTTCAAAAAAGAAATAGCAAAAGAAAGCCTTGGAGCTAATCTACTTATCTGCAGGAGGTCTTCCAAGAATCTTACATCCAAAAGACAAAAGAAGATCTTTTTGTAACCAACCCGAGAATCCAGTGTTGAAGATCACGAGAGGCATCCCATATCTGGGTCAGGAGAAGAAAGAAACTGAGAAGGAACAAACCCCAGAAGAAAAGGAGAAAAAGAAACTGACTGGAGAACCAAGACACGAAGCCAGGCTAGCCGTCTATAAAGCACGATAAAATATAAATAAATAACAAGGGAGGTCCATTCGAGCTAGCAACTTGCACCTAGAGACGCCAAATGGGGAACACTTCCGCGTCATAGGTTCAATGTATGCGAGGATTCGAGCTGGGTCCTTCCAAGCAAATGGATGACAATTTTTTTTTTAAAAAAATAACATTAAAGGATGATTATATAAAATTTATATCTCATAAAAATTAAATAATTTTAAAATAACTTTACAGTTATCTAATCCTCCTAACATATTAATTATATAAATAGAAAAATTAAAATAATCCTCAAGTAGTTAACAAACAAAAAAAACACTCCCACAATCATTGGTGACATTTTATTTAAAAAATAAACTTCTTAAATGATTAAGAGAGGGTTTAATTTTATGATTTTTGATCATTTAAAAAGCTTGATGGCTTTTAATAGCATGTGACAAAAAAAAATATAAGTAGTACATCTATTTGCACTTATTAGTGAGGTAGTAAGGACTTTGGTGACTTCACCGTCAATGGTGATCTGATAGCCAATGCCTGTGACAATGGAAGTTTCTTTTTTTCTTGTTTTTTAACTACTTGAAGGATATTTTAATTTTTTTATTTATAAAATTAATATATCAGAACAATCAAAAGATTATAAAATTATTTTAAAATTATTTAATTTTTATAAGATATAAATTTTATATGATAGTCTTTAAATATTATTTTTTCTTTCTCTCTCTCTTTTCTTTTTTAAGATGACGTGAGTAAAGTCGGCAGAAACTAGTACTCTCATGTGAAGAAGTCAAAAGGTGGACTAATGGCGTGTCTAGGGTGGTGTTGGCCTAAAATGCTGTGGTCTTGAAAAGCAATGTAGTGCATAGGTTGTTTCTATCAAGAAGATGAAATGGTAACTGATAAAAACAAAAGGTAGGATTATTCTTATGTGAAAAAGGCAAAAGGTGGATTAATGGCATGTTTAGGGTGGTGTTCATTGGACACGTAGCTCTCCATTTTCCTGTCATTCTTTTCCCCTCATTTCTTTATCATAATCATTGATATTATTATGTTAAATAAATTTGTTTTAGTCATAAATTTTATTAATATTACGATTAAAAAGGTGAAAAGACGTTGATGATAAGAATGGAGAGGTTTTAGGTTCGGTGTCTTTGCGTCAAGCGGACTAATTAAGGAAACTTATATGAAAAAACAATTAATGTAGGGACAGTTTGAAAAAGAATCTTATAAAAAAAAAAAAAGAACGAAACTAGCCATTTAAATTATATAAGAAAAAGAAGAAAAAGGAACTAACCTCTTAAATTGGGGGAGGGAGTGTCTCTCTTTCCTTCTCTCCATTTTCCTCCCTTTTCCTTTCATTGCTCTTAAATCAAAATTTTAACACTGTAAATTTAATTTTTGATAAAATTATTATTTTAATTTTATAAAAAGATATATAAATAAATTCAAAATATTAAATTTTAATCTAAATAATTTAAAACTATAATATTTTTTTATTTATTTTATGTAAAAATATAATAATAATTTTATCAAAAATTAAATTTAAACTGTTGAGAAATTTTAATTCAATGATGATGAGATGGAAAAGGAGGAAAATTGGAAAAAAAAAAAGGAGGAAAAGGAGAGACCCCCTCCCCCTTAAATTGAAAGAATAGGATTAAAAAATAAAAGGCAAGAGAGAGTAACATATTATTTATACCATCCCAAAATATAAAATACTCTTGAGATATATTTAAATTTTTAAAATATAAGACACTTTGATAAGATTAAGATTTTATTAATTTTTTTTCCAATATTACCTTCTCTCTATTTAATTTTTATTTCTCTCTATTTTCAATGATATAGTTAATTAAAAATATTTTTAAAACTTTATATTTTTATTTAAAAAATAAAATTGATGAATAATTTAATAAAAATTATTAACATGTGAGATTTTATTAAAAAAATATTTTATAATTTAGATGGAAAGGGATATAAGAGAAAGAACATTAACCGATTATGCAACACGATGGAGAAGGCATGAAATGAAACTAAACTTAGACGGGGGCCTTAATGGAGGCGTAATGTAAGGACGTCATCCCACATTCATGGCACAATTCCCACCACTCCCTCTACTTCTAGTCATGTGGCATTTTAAAGGTTTTTTTTATTTCTTTTCATAAGATACCCCTTTTATTATTTATAACATTTTGTTTTTTTAAATGGAGGAAAGCAGAATTTTTTAAAATAAAACATTACATATGAGCAAAGTAAGAATTTATTTTTAAATTTTTAGAAAGAGTAAATGAATTTTAAAATTCCTCTTGATCCAGGCCGGAAGGAATATCGTTTGCACTCGTCCCATGTTAGTCATACTTTTGCCAAATACCGCCATAATTATTGAGCAAAATAACCATTGATCTCATTGTTAAATATTCCCCAAATATATTACCTTATTGACATGGTGGAATTTGCCACTCATGTCATGTAAATTGCTCTTTTGGAATTCGTCTTGCACGTATTATATAAATATCAAAAAAATTAATTGAAAAGGCTTAAGTGTCGAAGTTTTTCACAAATGGCCCTTAATCAAATTGAGATGAGATGAACGGGGAGAGTGATGAGATAGAGAATTTTTAAAAATAAACCATAAATATTTGATTATTTTTTATAAAAAAAATATGGTCCTCCGATTTATGAAAGAAGGTTTGGTAATAGTACAGAGGGAAATAGCATATTAGGCATTAGCGTGTATTTTTTTAAGGATCGAGCGTGACGAGAATCGGCAAGATACAATGCAGGTGAGCAAGTGGGCCTACTTGATTGACACAACTACTTTATAATAAGTATTGGTCATAGACAGGCGTGTGGAAGCCATGGCCCAATAATATTAAATATCTTCCTTCCCATAATCACAACATCGTTTTAATTTTAAATATACTTTTAATTCTTTAATTTTACATAAAATTTTAATTTAATTTTTTAATTTTATAAAGTATCTTTCAATCCTCTAATCTTAATATCATTAATTTTAAATGATTTTAATTTACCTCTTAGTTGAAGCAATGTTGTTCGGAACTTTTAAAAAAACAGAAATTTTACCCCACTGTTAATATCTATTAATCTTTGATTGTTAAATATTACTTGTTGATTAAATAGACTAACATAAAAACTTCTCATCTTCCCATCTCTCCTCCATGTGCTCTACCTCTCTCTCCCATCCAATTCCATTGCCATTCCAAAAACTATTCCTAAACAAATGTTGTGTTTGGATAATTGTGAAAAGTAGAGGAAATCAATCCTCCAAGCATTACTTTGCAAGAGTCTTCCCTTATAGGAGAAACCCTAGCAAGAAGTTCTTTTGACTCTTTCCTCGTAGAGGAAAGGGATCAAATTCAACACTCTACTCTCTTCTTCTTTGGTCTAAGGCATGCTCCTAGGAAAGTAACACACGAACTAATGCATTCCTTTAATAGAAATTTTAGGGTAATTGGAAGAAGATCAAGAGCAATCGATGCACCATTGATGGTATTAGCAAAATTATCAGTGTGCAATAATTCCAACACTTTGAGATGAGACTGAATGTCACTTAAACCAAGTGGGGCACCAAGATTAGTCTTCAACAAACCATTAGATTCTTAAGGACAAGATTGGCCAATCCATTGATCCTATAGAATAACCGAGAAGTATTTAGAATAGTGGAGAATGTCAAAGGGATAAAGGTACACATGAAGGTTAGAGGCAAACATGGCAAGGTCGACAGAGATAAAACCAAAGGAAAATAAGGATCCAAGCGGGGAGACATTATCGATAAAAAGGCCAATGCATTTGACAACTTACAACTAGGGTTTATGAATCATGCTCTTCGTTTTTATAATTTTTTCTCTTTAACCTTAAAAAACTTTGATTTGTCATTACTCTTCATTTTAATATTTTTTATTGACCACTACTATATCCACTTTCATTTTATCACCAACCAAATATGATTGTCTATAAGTTATAAGATGAAGAACAAAAGGGGAGGGAGATGCTCTACAATTAAACCTCTTCCTTTTGCAAGTTTAGGCGTAGCTAACGCCCCCCAATTTATGTTTTGGAACCTCATGTGCCTCCTCACATGTCTGGCTTAGGATTGTGTGAAGTATGTCATTAGCCAAACTTGACTCACTAGAACAATGATGTGGCAAGGGGAAAGGGTGGTCAAGCTCGCTAGATGAAAAGGAAGAAGAAGTAAGGGAGCAATTTTGGAACGTTACTGGACTTGGAAAGAGAGAGAGGGATAAAGCATATGAACTAGAGATGGGAAGATGAGGAGTTTTCATGTGGTTTTTGGGGTCAAAAAGTAACATTGAATGATTAAAGGTTAGTAAAGACTAGGGAGCTTTACAAGCTATCCATATGAAATTTATAACAAAAACTCCATAAATAACATTCAAAGTACATTTGTCTATAATAAAATATCTTTTTATTTCATAAAGTTCACAAAGTTTGCACTTATCGAAGGAAAAGAAATTTATAAGCTATCCATATGAAATTTACAATAAAATGCCTGTAAATAACAATCAAAGCCTATGCATTTAAAGTCCATTTATTTCACACCAAAAAAAAAAACACAATTCCATCTTGTTGCTGAAAAAACTTATTTGCAAGAGAGATCTTTAGACATGTAGGATTATTTCATATTCTATCAGGCATTTAATGCAAACATGTTGGTTATAGTGCCTGCAATGCAATTCTTTCAAGGGAAATTGATAATAAATTTTTTTGAATTATGTAGATAATATTTTAATCTCTCAAAATATCATAATTCTTCTGAAGTTTTTAGAAACTTTTATTGTCATTAAAAAATTAATATAAATAATTAAATTACCCTTAATTCAAATATTAATTGCCATCCATAATTTTATTCAAAAATTCACAATTTTTTTCTCTTAAAATCACAAGAATTCAACATCAATTTACAAGTTCACTTTTGAAATCATAATATTTCTCAAATGTTATAAATGTCAATTATCATTTA